GAGTAGGCTAACTGTTTAGCTGAAACTAAGTATCCTTCTAGGTACGTATTTTATTATTTATTAGTTTTGTATTTATTGTTAATAATTTCAAATAATTTCGCATTTTAGTTTTTTTTGTTCACTTAATAGATAGTGAAAATTTAGTTTTCGTCGTTTTGGTATTGTCGTCGAAGAAATTTTAAGTTTTCGTCGTTTTGGTGTTGTCATCGAAGAAATTTTATGTTGTCGTCGAAGAAGTTTTAGTTTCGTCGTTTTGGTGTCGTCATTGAAGAAATTTTGTTTTCGTCATTTTGGTGTCGTCGTCGAAAAGGGTTCAAGTTTCGATATTGTTATAGGAATTTATGCATTATTATTTTGGTGCCGTCATTGGTAAAGATTATGTCATGATTATATGATTTAGTATTATTATTGGATAATTGTTAGTATATTTCGTTATATTTAAGTTTTATACATACAATAAGTATTCGCAAAATAAAATTAAAAACTTGAAATTTGTCTATTGAAAATTCAAATAAAAATAAATGCTTAAAACATTAAAATTGTAAAAAACTGACATATAACATTAGGGTGTATTTTAATTAGTCAATTTACATAGCGTAGGTCATATAGTATATAAGTCGACGATAGTGATATGTAATGCCATTATTTAAATCCGAATTATTAATCAAATACGTTAACGTTAATGTTAGGATCCGAATTTAATCTGAATAGTCTTTTAAAGAATATAGCCGAAACACTAATTGTCGCTATGTTATATGAGTCTTTGCTAGGAAAATTTACCTTTGGAACTATGTATATTTTGCAAGATTAAATTTGATAGAAAGTTGTTAAAATTGGAAAAAAATCGGATGTCTGATAACACAAAAAAAAGAACGTTATTATTTAAAAAGTATTTATTTGTATGGGTTTGCTGGTTCAAGAGTTATTGCAGCTTGAATTTTATTATATATTTTACTGTATTTTGACTCTCACAGAAATTTTAGATAATTTTAAACTTTTTATTATCACATGCTCAGATTAGAATCCATCGTTCAGATCTAACGTTAAGATAATAATGAACCCTAAAAATGCTAAGTTTCTCATTGTCGTAAATCATGATATTCTTGTAAACACTAGTAAGATTGTTATAATTTGATTGTTTGGTGATTATCGATATTATGAATATGCAACTGTATTTCCTGAAGAATTAATACAAAGTATATTTGTGAAATAATAAGAGCGGGGGCATCAGGCCGTAGTTTTAAGTAATATTTATGGTCGTTATTTCGTCAATATACGATCTTTATAGTAGTGTAAAGATTAAAATTCAAATTATTACTTAAAAATTTCTCTCTTTCATTATTTATATTAAAATATATAATATGTTAACTCCGACCAACCTAGTATTACTAAAGAAAACCCAGAAATCTTTAATAATAATTTTTACTAGTAAATTTAATAATAAATGTTATTATGTAATCTTTTTTTGTCCTTTTTTTTAATGAGGTAATTCTAGATAACTTACACTTTTTTGCTTCTTTTTTTTTAAAAAAAAAATAATAATAATAAACTATAAATTATTTAATTCCCTTTATCTCTCTTAAAAGTAATAAATTGGAGTACAATTGATTTTCCCTTGATTAGCTTTGTAAGTAGTTGCGTCCACAAATTCAACGACATTTCATCACTATTACTCGTAATTTTAATATATAAAAACCCTAGAGTTCCTTCAGGCATTCCCCAATCTTTCCCATTACAACCACCACTTGATTGACTTCCCGCTCCAGAGGTAAATATTGCAATAGGTGATGATGGTCTCGGATGTTGATATTCTAGAACATGAGAGTGGCCACCAAAATATGCATTTACTCGGTAATGTTCAAAAAGTGACAATAAACGTTGCATATATCTGTTTTTTGCATAATCACCAATAAGTGGGTGATGACCTGATTTTCAAGATATAATATTAATAACATTTAAATTTACATTAAAACAAAGATAAGTAAAAATAATATACCAACAACGAAAACCCATTTAGCACCTCCTTGAAATGCTAAATTTTCTTTCATCCAATTTAATCTATTCTCAACAGCTTCTGAAGTATGTACACCAAAATTACGCAAATTACTTTTAACAAATGCTTTTTGGTCAAAGTCTCATTTTCATAATAAAATATTCTAGTATCATATCATGTTACTTTAGTTTTTCTGGTCCAAACACCAAAGTGCGAACGTATAATAGAGAAGGAAGAAAAAATCGATTATTTCTTGACCAATAATTGTCAACTTGAGCTGTTATATTGTTATACCAATCATGATTCCCAGCGACGCTGTACCAAGGTATTCCTAATAATCTTCCCTTGTATACATCTAACCAGGTTTTTTTCATTTTGGATCGTCAATACTTTTCACTCCCTGATCTTTTTTGAAATTTTTATAAATAAAGTAAAATGAAAAATATGTATAAAATATAAAATAAAATAAATCGGGTTAATAGTTAATATGTTTAATACAATTTGAGTGCAAATCAGAGAATGATGAACTTATTACCAATTTTAACGATAAAGTTAGTATTATATTTTTTTGGCCAACTATCCATAGCGAAGGCAATATGGACTTGATCACCATGTTTTCGCCCAGTGTTGGCCTATGACTTAAGTCATATTATTTTTTCGATATGACCATAGTCATATGACCATATGACCTATGGTCATATGGTCATAAGGTCATAAATTATGAAACTCCCCCAGTATCACCGTCAAAAAAAGCTCGGTCACATGATTTTTGTGGCTTAGATATGGCTTGTCAGTTCGAATATTTATTAATGTTGAGCGATTACTTTATGAATCAATTTTATTTATTTCGTAAAATAAATGAATTTGATTACAAGAAATTGTTCTAAGTCTGAAATTATTGTAATTACCCGCATAATATAAAAATTATATTTTTAAAAAAATTGATAGCATTTTATAAAACATTATACTAAAACTGTTTTTTATAATAAAAACGCATAATATTGATAATGTAATTTAAAAAAAAATGCATCACAAAGTGTACAATAAAAAAAATTGCTGTATAATATAAATATAAAATAGTTACTATTATTGCAAATAGCGAGTGTTATTTGTATGATCTTTCCATGTCAACGGCATTGTCCTTTTTTTTTGATATTTTTCAATATCGTCAACTAATTCAGAAATTGGAACGAAAGATTTTTTTATAGCTTTACACCATTTAATATTACCAATTAATTTTTGTTCTTCAATAATAGCAAGAGCTTTTCTGGTTGTATTAATCAAATTATCGAAAATATCTTCTTCAATTAATTCTTCAACTGGTTCTTCAACTGGTTTTTCGACTGGTTTATCATTATTACTGTTAAGATCATAATTCTTTTTATTGTTATTTTCCATAAGAGGTGGTAGATCATTTTCAATTAGAAAAGGAGGTTGCGAAATTCTTTTTAAATTGATAAAAAATTTAGCCATAACATTTTCTTTTTGATATACTAAATGTTTACATAAATTAAAACGACTTGTCAAATAATAATAACATCCACAGACCCATTGATTTACATCAGTAGCATATATTTGATTAATATTTCACTTGGATAATTCTTTCCATTCAAATTTAAAGTCTTTAATCCATTCGGGCCTCTCTCGTCCAATTTGAATCTGTTACAATTTGCGTTGCTGATGTATAATAACTTGTTTCATCAGGATATATACAACTAAGTCTATTCTTGGACGAAAAAATTTATATAAACAATTTCTTTTGAGTACCTTCCAATGACCTTCGATAAACATAGTAGTTTTTAAAATAGAAATCATATCTGTGCAAGATGAGGGCCCATAACTTCCATTTTAATTCACTATACCACTCAGTCCAAAAATATGACCAAAGTGATATTAAAGAATTGTTTTTGCAAAATATATACATCTCTTGAACAGATGTTTCATAAATTAAATCTGCAGTTAAAAACTGACCTTCACTTGTAGGAATAAAAGGATGTAAATGCAAGTGCTTTTCAACAATACTCTATACAGTATTTCGAAGCTCTTTAGGGCAGAATTGTGCTACCTGCTGAATGCTGTCAAAAGGAAACTTTTTCCCAAATTCCGAAAGAAGGTTAAAACTTAAAGATCTGGTAGATTTATTACTTGATAATCTTGCATTAATGGCTCGTTTAATGTGCTATTTGCACAATTGGATTTTACACTGTGGCCATGTAAAACGAATCGCATTAATTTGCGAAAAGTTCTTATCAGTTAGAAAAAATTTGGGTTGCAATCCTCGATCTTGATATGTGGTAAAAAAATTTTGTAAAACTCCTGTTCATATGCCCTTATTACATCGACCATTATTTTCTAAAAATAGATATGATAGCAGAAAACCGGTACCATGTACTTCTACGTGTAAAACGTATAATTCAAAACCCAAATTATTGGTCTTATAAGTAGCATCAACCCCAAATTTGTTAATATTAATTTCAAATTGAATTATTTGATTGAGAATTCCAGTATCAAAGGCTAAAAAATGAATAGGTTCTAGTTCATACAATATAACATTATACTGATTTTCGCAAAGCCAAAGATATACAGATTCCAATGCATTATTATGCCGTTTATAATGACTTTGTCCTAATTCTACCCACCAGTAATGAATCTGTATTTGTCTAATCGTTAATGACAAATTTGGATTTTCCCTAATTAGACGTGCATAAATCTCTCTTGGAAGAAGATTTATGTTATCTTTTATAAAATCTTTAATATTTTGTGATGTAGACAAATCTATTGGCTTGCTGTGTAATTCTTTGTGATAAAGCATTACTGTAACTAAATATAAAGCTTTATCAATTGAAATCTTTAAAACGCCTTCACATTCAAATCTTTCCATTGATAAAATATCTCTTTGTTTTGATTTATTAGGATTTTTACATGGTTTTTTCATTAAAATATCTCGTTGGGAACACATATACCAGTAAGTGGTTAATTTATTACCATTATATTGACAATTATAAATTCAATTATATTCATCGGCATTCTCAATTAGTTTGACGATTTCATTTGCTAGTTCTTTATCTGAACCATTATAATCTCTAATACTTATTCCGTAATGGAAATGCAACCCTGATTGTGTGCTTTCTAAAAACTTTACAACAATTTCACTCAAACAATCCAACTCAACAATTTCTAAGTCATTAGCAAGAAAAGTATCATCGGTATTTGCAGATCTTTTCCGTTTATTAGAAAATCTTTGACGACAGTAATTACAAGTTTGAAATCTCTTAGGTGTATTTTTTGCATCATGTCCCATGAATTCAATAACAGGTTTAAATTTTTTGCAACTGTCACAAAATGGATCGGTTGAAGATGGATTCATGTTGGGTATGATAAAAAAATAAAAAATGTCAACACAGATCTAATTATAATAATAAAGGCTATTACAAATCATTCATATTGCATAATAAAAGAAATATTATTCGGAGTTACTAATTCGCTTAATTCTTAGCTACTAAAATCACATGTTTGAGCTTTTTTTGATAGTGACACTGGGGAAGATTAAATTATGACCAAAGGTTATATGACTTATATGACCTAGGTCATATGACCAAGTGTCATAGATTATAACCTTTTAGCCAATTAAAATCATATGTTTGTACAACTATGGAAGTTAATTTATTGTCTATCTTAATACAGAAGTTAATTTATTATCTATCGTCACATATAATTTTTAATATGTATAACTTTTACGAGTTTAGTTGTTTTGCAGCATAATTTTGAACTTTTGTATAACATGACTTGATAGATCCTGTTAAGCTAGAACAGAGTTTTAAATAATAACAATAGTTCTGACTAAGGTCTTTGATAAGCTTATCATTATCAGACACTTTTGGAATGTAATATTAAACATTTTACACATTTGTTGACACTTGTGCTTTTTTTTCATATGATACATGTTATTTTATGGCATTGAGATGTTCTGATTGATAATTTTATGAAGTCATATTTTTACATTCTGTTTTTAGTGAGCGATTTTTTTTTTTGTTATAGTAATTTGTTACGTATCAAGAAAATTAAATATTAACATGATTCATACTCTCAGAAATTAGCAGAGGCTGTTAATAAAAATTTTATTATATTGAAAGTTTTCTTAAACTATAAAGTTTTGTGCTTAACTTGCTGCATTACATTGAAGATTTACAGTACTATTGTATAGCAAGAATTTAAAAAAAGGGTATTAGCATACTTTTTTTTGTTATAAGTCATATAATTTGAATTCAGATTTTATTTTATTTATTTCGTTATTATGCCTTCTCATAATTTTAGAGACTATTTTATTTTAAAAAAAAATCCAAGTAATCCAACAAATGCTCTCGCTATATGTAAATGGTGTATATGTAAACATGGATTAAGTGTAGCTCAACTGAAACCAGAATGTTATACAGTCAACAGAGCATGTTTGAGCTGTAGTCATCTATCAAAATGTGAAGCTTTTTATGAAGCTAACACTAAAGAAGAAATACAAAGAATTTTAGCTTTACCAGTACCAGAAGATAATAAAAAGTGAAAAAAAATCAGTTAGAAATTGATGGTAATATTATTGTGGTTTTCGAAATGGTTGAAAATACAAATAAAATTTTTTTCTTATACACTCATATTCAAGTGTATAAGTGTATGTCAAAAAATAAAATATTTATTTGTTATTTTCAACTATTTTGAAAACTGTAATAAATTTTTTAGGTTATGAAAATTATAATTTAATTTATATATAATACTGAGTAGTTTCAAACCAATTTAATGTAGATGAAGAATCTGATACTAATGAATCTTTAAATTTACAGATCAATTCAGTTATTTCAACTACTTTAAGTCATTCAGTTATTTCAACTGCTTCAAGTCACTTATCCACAAACAGTCGACAATTTGCAATCACAAATTTTATTTGTCGACCTCTTTCAGTTAATGACCAATTATGATTTAAGCAATTGCTTTTAAAAATAATTGTCTCTAATGCATTGCTCTTTACATTTGTTAAAAATGAAGATACCATTGCTTTATTTGAGTTTTTAGTATCAGAAATTAAATTACCAAAGTGAAAGGTTATAGGTGACAAAGTGTTAATGAAAAGTGCTCAATTGTTGCAAAATAATATTATTAAAATCATCAAGAATAATACATATAATGTAACTGCAATATTTGACACCTGGACAAATATAAAACAAGAGCATATTTTGAGAGTAGTTTTTATAACTATAGAAGGACAATCTTTAATCTGGGGTGTTTATGATATTAGTCTAGAAAGATCACAAACACAAAATGTAATCAATCATATTGAGTACCTAATAACTAAAGCAGAAAAAAATAAAATAAATATCAAGACACTAGTTTCAGACTTTGCTGATAAATATGTATCAGCACAGTAAATCTTATTTATTTTTATTTCAATTTCTTCTTGATTATGTACTATTTTAATTTTTTATTTTTTTGTAGTCGACAATTATGAAGAAAATACCTCTCAAAAGTTTTTTTATCATACATGGCTCATTAAATGAATTTAGTATTCAGTAATATTTTTAAAGAATCTGCTTAATACCAAAGGATTTCTAAAGAAGCAATAAGAATTGTAAGTTTTTTTTACAAGTCCTTTTTTTTTATAGAAAATCTTAGAGATGAACAAATACAGATTTATAAGAAACCTGTTGCATTAATAATGCCTGGAGATACAAGATGGAATTCTTATTATTTTTGTTTTCATTTTATTTTAAAAAAAAATCTGCTCTCAAAATATGCTTTTCATTTCAAGTAATTTAATAATTAATATTGATATTACCGAACTGTTTATTAAATTTCTTTATTTGGAAGAATGCAATTAAAATTAGCAAAGGTTATACATAAATCACTCTTTTAATATTTTTTATTAGTGCATCAAGACAAAAATTTTGGTTAATATATATAAATCTCTCAAACAAGAAAATTGAAATACAGTTTGGTAATATTAATCAAAACTATTTTTAATATTTATTAGTGAAGTATATATAACTAAAATTGATATCATAAGATGATAAAAAAGCTAATATGTATTTAGCAACAATAATATATTTTAGATTACCTTTCATAAAACTGAAATATTAATTTCAAAAAGATTATATATATAATGTTTTTTTATAATATAAAAAGCCTGATTCTCAGATTATCTTTATGAAAACTAAGAAATTGACCTTGTGCTGCTCTGCAAAAAAAAAAAACGTCTATTAATATAATTATTTATATAAAATAATAATTAGTTTTTCTCTACTAAATTTAATTGCAATTGTGACAATGTAATTTGAACTAATGGCATTCTATCTGTACTAACAAATAATCAATCAATATTGCATAATAGTACCCAAAAACTTTCAGACGATATTGCGGATATTATAAATGATACTCAATTTTGGATAATATTAACTAATCTACAGAATCTTTTGTATCCTCTTTGTGGTTTTTTGAACAAATTGCAAAAAGATACAGCTCAACTATATGAAGTTCTTTACTGTTTTGGGTATATTATAAAAATGTTTGAAAGCCATCAGGATTTTGAGTTCAGAATAAGAATAAAAAGACATATCAAATCACATTGGAATGAATGGAAACAACCAATATTACTACTTTCTTTTGTGCTACATCTTCAATATAAACTTACCAAATTTAACACTATAGTTGCTAATTTTTCTTGGACTTATATTGGGCAATGGCTCAAGTATTATTATAAAACATGGTTTAATTCTAAACTGACCTCTATTTTATCTAAATTAATACAATATAAAAGAGGAAATGATCTATATGATATTGGTTTATTTGTACAATTTAATGGAAATTTAGTAGATTTTTGGAAATCAATTGAAGGAATAGGTCCAGAATTAGCTTGAGTGGCGATTCTTATTCATGGCATCTGCGAAATGTTTGTGGTCTTCAATGAGATTATTACATACTAATCATTGAAACTAGCTGCAGGTTTGATTAATAACAATATATTTTTTTATCTATACTGTTTAGTAACCTTAGGCAAATCTATTTGGGTGAAAATATCTAATAAGTCACATTTTTATCACCATCATTATGTATTATACAAGTATACTAAATATTTATTAGTAAGCATTTTGTAATATAGGCATGTAATTTATGAATAATTTTTACTAAAATGCACCTATGGTAATTTACACCTATACATATATTATTTTAAAAACTGGCTAATTAATTAGTAAAGAGTGTTTTAGATAGAAATGTTTTATGTTCTAAAAACCTATTCTAAGCCCTAATTATTACCCTAATACTAACTCTAGCGTAAAAAATTTGTATTAAAATTTTATATACAGAACTTATAAAAATTTAAAAATTTTTATAAAACATAATAAAAACATATAATAGGTACAAAATTACTATAGGTGTATTTTATAATAAACATTTCTGAATAACTCTAGAAAAAATGCATTTGCTTAATATTTTACAGACAAATTTGCCTATAATACAAGATAATTAATAATCTATCTTATTTATTTTTATTTATTGCAATTGGTATTATAGCCAAAGAAGGTTTTAGCAATAAGCAAAATTCGAAGTGATATTCTTTATTCTCACAAAGTTAAAAATATAAAAGAATATAATAATTGTATTTGTCATTTACATATTGCAACCCCATATTATCAGATGATGAATCCATTAAAGAAGAATTAATTGTTACTGATTTGGATTGTTAAGTGAGCAATAATGAATATGAAGGTAATGTTGAGAAAGAAGCTACCAGGTTCAGTAATGCTGAAGAAGCAGATACCAGGTCTAGTAATATTAAAAAAGCAGCTACTAGGTCTAGTAATGTTGAAGAAACAGCTGCTGGGTCTAGTAATATTAAGGAAGCAACCACCAGGTTCAGGAATTGGACTAATAAAAATTTTAAAAATGAAGATTTAGTCATAGAAGAAGAACAACAATGAGAAAATACAATTAATAAATAGATAGAACTTGGAGAACATGAAAACCAATTTGAAGATCAAGGTGATGAGATTTTATTAACAAATGATTAGGACACTGATTTTGGTTTTGGGAGACAAGAAAAACACCCAGCTGATGATAAGACAGCAAAATGGCCTTTAGATTCACTTTTTATTTCTTTTTTAGGGGCATCATAGTATTTTAACTCAGAAGTTACTTCATTATTAAAAATATAAACTTAAGGCATTTATATCTGTTGAAATAAGAATATATATACATATATATATAAGTATAAGTCATCTGCTATTAAAATCTTTTGAAACTAGAAATGTTTATGGAATTGGATTGAAAAGATAAATGAATAAATTCATTGATAATGGGGAATACTAGTGTATAAGATATTTATTAATTATTGAAATAGGACATGCTAATGCTAGAATGGATTTTACTAGCATAATTGGTATTGAAAAACAGGAATAAGATTCATTAGTATATAGTAGTGAATTTCAATATATTATATAAATAAACATCATCTTTAACTTAATATAATCACAGTTATTTTAAATTTTAATAAATTAAAAAATAAAAAAAAATTCTTAAAATAAAACATATTAACATGTATCATATAGATAATGTGTAATTACTAATTAATATCTTTTAAGTTTTGGTTTCTATTTCTTCCTATTTGGAAATACTTTGTACTTGTGAATAATAATACAAGTTTTTATAAATATTCTTGCAATGTAAATTCATATAAAGTTCCTGATCAAGGATTATCAAAATACTTGCTATGTATACTCTTTCTTGGTAGGATCTACTAGAGCAAATTAGGAAGAAAAGTTCTTGTGTTTTTAAATAATAGTAAATCATAAAGATTAATAGTAATAGTAAATAGTAGATAGTAATAGTAAATAGTATCAAAAAATTTGATTTAAAAAAAAATTACCAAATAATACCTTAAAAATAATAAAAATTTTAACTTTGTGAGTTCTCTACTCTATGTTTATTTATTATTTTCAAACTTTTTTTATTTTTTTTTTGTTTTTTTTTTGATGGATTCTTTATCGAACAGATGAATTGATAATCACTAAAGTTAAAGGCATACGTAGCGAGAGAATTTGATAACTTTTCCAAATCTTTACCAGTCAATAATTTTTAAATAACAAATATTTATTAAATATATATTACTCTGTTATACTAACTGTTCGTTTGACCAACATTTAGTTATGTCGATTACTTTTTTAAATAAATGTAATTTAATGACAGGTTTCATTAATTTTTTATATTTTTGCTGATTTAGAGTGTTTTCAAACCTCTAATAGGTCAAAGCTTAATTTCAGTTAATGGAAAATAGTTTAACCAGTCAAGTAAGTTTATTATTGTGAAAGTTGAAATGGGGTAGTGAATACTTTTTAAGAATAAAATAGAATTATTATAACCAATCAAATCTGATATTATTTCAAAAATTGAACAAAAAAAAAATCATTTGATCATAACAAAATAAATGAAATTTTATTGTGAAAATGTTTACCATTCCTGAGTCAAGACTAATTTAATATTAGCATTTTGTAATATGAATCTTCAGCAAATCATTGGTACTAGTGATGTGGTTAGAATCTTCTTAATGATTGTCATAACTTGCCATAACTATAGAAACAATATAAATGATTGTCATAACTTGCCGTAACTATAGAAACAATATATATAGTAAGTTACAGCAAATTACGACTTGTACTTGGTTTTGATAACTAGCCTAGTACCTAACTCATACAAATTAATAAATAACTCTCCAGTACGTAGCAAAAACCAAGCTACTTAATTTCCTATTATTAAACCCAAACAATTGTAAATAGTTAACTTTTAAATTTAATAAAGCATGCCAATTCGCGTAATTAAAAAAAAAACAATTCTCCAGTTCTTCGTAATACTAGGAAAAAAAATACTAGCCAGTTCAAATTTTAAAACCTGCGTATTATATATAGAAATTTTATAGATTATTAAAAGTAATTTCTATTGGGTAGGATTATGACCAAGGTCATCAGTCATATCATTACTTTTATGACCTTATGACCTATGACTGGTCATAAGAGTCATAGAGGTCATAATAGGTCATATTCCAACACTATTTTCGCCCGGTACCATTTGCATTAAATCCCAATCGCCAAGTACAATAAAATATAATGTCGAATCAATATATACTTCTTCAAATACCTTTGTATACGGTGACGCTATCGTAAAATTTAATTCTTGGGTGAAAGTATTTGTTGTATTTGTTTTTAAGGAATTTTTGGAATTTTTAAATATGGAAAAGGAGTACAGTATTGATAGAGTTGCTATACACATAAATATCATCATTAATGAAATTATTAACTTTATTAGCCCCTTTGAAATTATGTTTGTAAGTTTTTGGAAGAAAGAAAATATCTATGTATATGCAACGGCAATCCATTTGATTTGTTAATAAATATACTTAAACTGTTACTAGAACTAATATGGTAATTTATTTCAAATTTAATCAGCGAAATTAAAGCTAAGATTTCAGTACATGCTCTATTTATACGTTGACACGTGCGAAACGGCGAGTCAGTCGCTTGGCAAATGGATACATCGTGTAACCTACGAACGGCTTAGTCGATAAGAGGCGGTTAGATTTGGCGAGTGGTATGTTTATGATCGTAGGTTTT